GATATGTCTTGTGTACTATTAGGGACATACTTTTACTAAAAATTATTTGTTGCTTATCTGACATTCAAATTTAACTGGACTTCCTGTATTTCCTCCAGAAACCCTACAGAGAGTACACGCCCTAATGCTTTATAAGCCCATGTAACATTCTGAGATCTAAGTTTCTTTGAGATTCGCTCCTGATTTAAACCCTCAGTGAAGTTGCTGTGGCAGTTAAAACTGTATCTGCCTGCAATGTAGTGGATCTTGCACTGCCCACCTGCACGCAGCTCCCCTTGGTTGTGAGAATATAAGCGCAGAAGCAAGACTTTGCTTGAGAAACGTAGGCTAAATATTTCCCTTTTGTAATTTTTATTAAACATTTCAAAGACACACACAGTAAAGGTAGTAACATAATGCATTTCACACATTTTATTTGTACCCTCTTCAGTGTTTTTGTTTGGTGGATGTGTAGGTGGGTGGGTAAGTGTGAATATTTGTTCTGCCATCTCCTAAGTCAGTGGTTTGGAAGCTTGGCTGTAAAATAGAATCACCTGGGAACCGTTTAAACTCTCAGTCCCTGCCTGCTTCCCAGACCAATTAAATCAGAATCCTTGGCAGTAGAGTCAGGCATCAGTAGTATTTAAAGCTTCCAGATGACTCCAATATATACCCAGAGCCAAGAACCAATGCCCTGCATGAAAATGGCAAATTTGAAGACTATTTTTACTACTCAATTATTTTTTAAGTTCCTCTTCAAAACTGATGTCATAGACTTTTCAGAAAGCATATTATGTTATACTTACTGTATTATGTTACTATATATTTATGTTATTATATTATACTATATTGTATATTATAGAGTTTATTTTTTTAAAAAAAATGATCTCAAGCAGGGCACAGTGACTCACACCTATAATCCTAGCGCTGTGGCAGGCTAAGGTGGGAGGATAGCTGGAGACTAGGACTTTGAGACCAGAGTGAGCAAAAGTGAGACCTCTGTCTCTACGAAAAATAGAAAAATTAGTTGGCTGTGCTGGTGTGGGCCTGTAGTCCCAGGTACTCAGGTGACTGAGGCAAAAGGATCACTCAAGCCCAGGGGTCTGGGGTTAAACTGAGCTATGATGACACCACTTCGAGACTCTGTCTCAATTAAAAAAAACTCATCTGGCTTCAATCATGTCACTGATTTATTATTAATTTCCTAACTATATATAATTGACTTTTGTTTTCAAGTGTTTCTTTTTTATTTTCTCATATCTTTTTCATATGTACTTCTCTGTCCCTTTTTTTTTCTTTTCTTTTTTTTTTTTTTTT